ACCCACCCCTGTGGGAACCAGGGATGCAAGGCCGGGCCAGGCAGCGTCCTGCCCTCAAGGAGATCCCAGTCTGAAGCAGACAGGGAGGACCCGGGGCCCCACTTCTCCATCCCAGAGACCCCCCTCTATCCATGACTGGATCCTGTAGTCTAGACTTGGCCCCCCAGCCGAGGGGATGACTCAGGACAGGGCACCCTTCCTCGTTGTCCACGCCCACCGCACGCCGCCAGCACGTCTGTGTTACACATGCCGGGAGGACAGGTATGGGGTTGGGAAGAGCCCCGCCAGCTACACTTTTCTCCCTGCCCATCGGGCGTGTCTTGGCCTGTCCCCGCCTGGTGCCTGGCTGTGGAGGACGTCCTTGGGAAGCCACACGGCCACCACAGGCCAGTTGCATGGCTGGTAACATAGGTAAGTCTTGTGACACCCGTGCCCTGCCCGAGAAAGATAAAGTCTTCTAGGGGCATGTGGCCGCTGAAGGTGGGGGGTGGGCAGGCCAAAGGAAGGTGCAGAGGGCTTTCTGGGGTCGAGGGTGGTGCTTTTTCCTCTCTGTGTCTCCAACCAGTGGGACCAGCCTGGGAACTTTGGTGGCCTTTGCTGGTGGCCCCTGGGCTGCCCAGCCCTGAATTCAGCTGGTCCATGAGGGCACATCTCACGCTTTTCTCTGTTGGAGTTGGGGACACGGTCACCCCTGAGACCCAGAGGCTGCCTCCTGCCTTCCTCAGGCCCCCGATGTGTGATGACTGTCCCCAGGGCCCCCGCCTCAGGTCACTGATCCTCTGTCCACATGGCCACTGGGCTTCCTCCCTGCCCATGGCCTCTGACCCCGTGGGTCCCAACACAAACCCATTCTCCGTTGGGGGCAGCTTAGGTGGCCAACATAGGACTGTCTAACGGGGTGACTCTGCTGATCCCACTGTGGAAGGTGGGCCCTTCCTCCACGGTGATGTGAGCTCAGTGTCACAGGGATTTTGTTCCAGAAGAGAGGCCAGGACCTGGTTTGGGGCTGATCTGCTCCCAGGCGGAGAGGGGGTCCTTTTCCTCCCCTATCAGGAGCCCCAGATGCATCAGGGCCGGGGGCGGGGTAGGTTGTCCCCAGGGGCCTCTCTCAGCCTCCAGTGGGAGAGGGGCTCCAAGCAGCATGTCACAGGGACGTCTGTGCAAGTGGACCGAAGCTTCGGCATCCAGTTCCTGGGGATTTCCTCTGGCCATCTGCCCACAATGCCCGAGCACCGCTGACACTCAGCGCCGCGGCTTCCTTGAGATCACGGCATACTGGGACCGACCTACATGTGCTCGTGGGGGACTGGTGGGATCCAGTGAACCAAAGCTCCTCCCTGCGTAGAACATCGTGTGTCCTTTTGAATATCGAGGCTGTCCTCTCAGTATTTGAAGAGTGAGCATTCCTTTTATGACAGGTTTCAGATTTGGGGCAGCGAGTATGACAGGCCGGGGGCAGAAAGGGGCCGGCAGGTGTGGACACAGTCTGGGCTCCAGTGCAGGGCAGCAGACCCCCGTGGGACAGAGGCCGACCCCGCTCCCAGGCCTGTGCCCATCTTCCTCCCTGACTGTTGGCCCCTCCTGAGTCTGAGCTGGAAGTCAGGGGTGACTGGTTTTCCAGAACCTTACCGTGGGCACAAAGGGGGAACAGCGGGGTCCTAGGTTGGCTGTCTTGGGTCTCTTTCTCATGTCCGCACATGGCCACTGGGTGCTCCCGTGGGGTCCTATTTAACGCTTGGTTTACGTAAGCGATAAGAAAACGTGTTAATGGTGGGCTTAGTGTTTGACAGGGTAGTGGTTTAGGTCCTTGGGAAAGTTCTGTCTGTGAAAATAAAGGGTCAGTGGGCTTCCTTTCCGAAAAGTAATTGTTTCCTGCAGGAGCCTATCTAACTTCCTCTTCCGGAAGGAGCCCCTTTATGCTTTTGAACAGGGCATCTGAGACTCGGCTACGGCTGGTCAAACCGCATAAAATCCTGTCCTCACCGCTCTCCACTCTGGGGAGGCCCCCGCTACCCGCGCACATGGCCTCCTCCGCGCCAGGCTGCTCAAGCTGGGAGCCAGAAGGGGCAGGACGGGCGGGGGACGATCTGTGGCCTGAGGGTCCCCAGGAGCAGAGACGTGCCCTCTGTTCTGCACCAGCATCATCTTGTGTGCGGGGGACAACCGTTTCACACCTTGCCCTGAGCCCTGGACCAGTCACACAGCCCCACCCAGTCCCGATCGGTCTGCATCTGCTCTAGGTGACAGGCCTGGAGGCCCATCTTGTTCCCTCTGCAGCACAAAAGGGTCTCCAGAGGAACCCCCGGTGGGAACCGTGTTTCTGGGTTCTCCCGTCTGCCACCCTCCGGGAACGGCCGCGGCTCTTGTCCACTGAAGGACCCACAGCTCTGAAGTTGTCCGGTCTGTTCCCTCTCTCTCCCGCCCCGGGTCTGAGCCACGCCGGCTAGAGGAGCTTCTGTCTGGAGGCTGCTGCCACTGGGGCCCCAGGAGTCCAGCAGGAGAAGACAGGCGCTTGGAGGGGAGCAGGGGGCAAGGCCAGGGGCAGGTGTTCCCAGCAGCCTGAGCTCCCCAACTCCTGTCTCCTGGGAGAGAGCCCCGAAGTCCACAGCTGGGCGCAGCTCTCCCTGGCGGTCAGCCCCTGTCCCCCAGCGCCCTGTCCTTAGGCTGCTTCTGTCCTGTCCTCACCTGGGTCCCTCTCCTCTCCATTCTACCCTCTCTCTGGGTCCTTTGCTCCACCAGCTCCTTCCCTGTGGGGTGCAGCCCTCCCTGACTAAGCCCCTTCCTCCCTCGGGGAGCCCCGGCCCTCTCTCCCTTCCTCTCTGTCCCTCCCTTGTCTCCACCTGAGTCAGGACTCTCCCCAGCCCCTTCCGGTCACCCTGGGAGGCAGGACACCTTTTGGGCCCTGACAGGGATGCAGGGTCTGTGAGGATGGACTGTGGACTTGCCCTGGGCCTCAGGAAGGCCTCGTGCACACCCACCAGCTGCTAGGCCTCCCCTCAGGGAATGTGGACGCCTCGGAGAGCAATGGGAGGGAGACCCCTGGCCTGTGGGGGTCCTGCCCTGCTGTGTGCCCTGTGTGGGCCCCTACAGGGGACTCTGCCCCAGGTGTCCTGTGTCAGGAAGGGGCAGAGCTCAGCTGCTGAGCAGGGAAGCCCCTCCCTCTGGCTTCCTCCCTGGGCAGCCCAGGGGTGAGGACTGGAGAACCTCCCACCGCCCCAAAACCTCAGGTGTGCGGGTTCCTCCCCAGTATTTAGATTCTTTCTTTCTATTCTCTTGCAGCACAGCTGTCATTTCCACTCAGTGCCCCTGACAATAGGATCGGTTGGTGGGGGGAGGTTTCTGATCTCTAGAACCCTCCCCCCGCCCCAGTCAGGCTTAACTGATTCTTCTCCCAACAGAGGGAGTTGGTGTGATCCCGCTGAAGGCCCCCCCCCCACCACGCCCCGAGAAGTGAGAGGTGTCTGCCTGCGGCTCTCTGGACTCGGGACACATTTCCAGAGAAAACCTTTGGTAGAAGATCCTTGACATTGCCGTCCATTTCTCTGCATTTGAAATCAATTCGTCACTTCTCTAAATGTGGAAAACTCTTCTGACAGCGATGTGTGTGATCTTAATCACGTATATTTGAACCTAAGGTAGATTTTCCAGGACAAGTAAATCTACTCAGATTTTTTAATTCAAGACGACTTCTTCTGGGCTCATGGCCTTTTGCTGGTTTCCGTGGATCAATCTGGAGAAGGCGGTGGAGAGCGGGTCTGCATGGCTTGGGAGGAAGTGTTTTATTCTGCTGTTCACAGAGGCCTCCCGTGCGTGGTCTTTGGCGAGACTGAAGTCCATCCTTCAGGCTTCCTGCTCAGGGAGGAGAACGGGGACTTGCATGGCACAGGCGGGCACTGGGACAGGTGGGCGGGGGCAACAGAGAAGGGGTCTGGCAGCCCCAGAGATGGGGAAGGGAGGGGACCCCAGGAGGTGAGGGAGCAGAGGAATCTCTCCAAGGGGGCGGGAGGGGTGGCATGGCCCCCAGGAGGGAGCAGGTAACCCAGTGGAGGCTGTGAGAGGGGCAGGGAAAGGCCAGGCAATGGAGAGGAGGGAGGAGGGCAGGGGAGGTGGCAGGGAGGGAGGGAGGGAGGCACCTCACCTTGAGAATGTCCTGCAGGGTCTCAGAGAATTTCTGACTCTCCTCGTCCAGACCCAGCCAGGGCTGGAAGCTTCTTCCCTGGTGGAGCACGAAGGTGTCCCAGCAGTGCTCAAACTCTGCAGAGAGACGGGGGAAGGACGTGAGCCCGGCTCCGGGGAGGGCTGGGGGCCACCTCGGGTCTGACTCTCAATGACAGGCTGTGTCCCTCCTAGCTGCACCCCTGCTCTCTCTCCTCTGGGGCACCCCGGGACCACCCCGCCCCCGGAACTCTTTCGTCAGGCTGGAACCTCAGCCAGCCTGGCCTCCCTTCTTCCTGCAAACCCCAGTCTCCCTGGCATGCCCACCCACCATTCTCCCTGCCCTTCTGCACACACCTGTCCTGCGCTGACCTCTCTCTTCTCAGCGACCCTGCTGTCCTCTGCTGTCCAGGCACCTGGCCTCCCCTCCGCAGGCAGCCCACAGGGGCCACCCCTAGGGACACTACTCTTGTCCTCCCCCATAGCACCCCCCACCAGGCCTCTCCCTACCCTCCACCCACCACCCCTGTGCCCTGCAGGAGGCCCACACTGACCCCTGGCGGTCATGATGGCGATGCTGGCCCCAGCCCTCTTCAGGGTGCACAGCCCCTGCTCATAGCTTCCCAGGCTGTAGATGCGGGAGGCATAGAGGTTCAGGCTCACGTGGCTGTTGTCCCCCAGAAACTCAGCCATACGCTGGGCACAGTCAGCACAGGGGCTCCAGGAGAGAAAGCAGGTGACCCTGTACTGGTGTTCCGGGTTCAGGTTCCAGGACTGGATCTGCTCCAGCAGGAAGGACTCCGCGTGGCGGGAGAGCCTGGGGTCCTGGTCACTCTGGGCACACAAGAGGCAGGAAAGGCTTCTGTCATTGGTGGTGAACACGGGGGAGGGGGCACCAGGGAGAGGCAGGGAGGTCCTGGCCTCAGGCAGGAAATGCAGGGGGAGCCCTTCTCCGAAGGAGATGAATGGGATTTCCCTGCAGTGTTCCCAGGCTCCAGGCTCCCCAGCACTAGCTGACAGGCCAGTGAGGGCAAGTTCCCAGGGACCCGCTGAGCGAGCTGAGCGCCTGCATGTGCCTCTGCTCGCTAGGGCTCTGCATCCCGCTCTACCTGCTGGGCCTTCTTCGGAGTCTTGAGATTTCGTTGATCATGGGATTTGCCTGAAGTTTGACTTTGAAAAGATTGCGTTACAGTAGTTTCAGCGTGACCACTGAGTTTCTATGTTTGTGCCCCAGGGAAGGGGCTTCAGGACCCTCACCTAGCGGGGCCCTGCAGACAGCAGCACAAGAGCCCCGGAAAGGGAAAGGGGGGCCGGGGAGCTCCGAGTTCCCTGGCCTGGTGCCCTGGCAGTGGAGGCTTCCTCCACGAAGGGATCCAGCCCTGTGCTCACCCACCGCCACCGAACCCCACTCCCACCTTGGCACCAGCGCTCCTGCAAGCTTCTGCCCTGGCCCTCACCCTGCGCTGAGCCCACGGGTGACACAGAAGGGCTCACCGTGCAGGGAGGAATGGGGAAGGGGCACCCAGCAGACAGGCGCCTGGGCATGGGGTGAAGGTCATTGTCGGGGCTCACAGAGCTGTGGAGACGGGTGCAACCTGTCCAGGGACGGATTGTCAGCCCGGGACCGGGAGCAAGTCCGGTCAGCGGTGCCAACTCAAAGACCTGGGCAGAGTGGGATGGGGACGTGGGGACCGAGGGGGGCTCCCTGGGCGATGCTGGAGTGGGGAGCAGTGCCTTGGGCAGGATCTCCAGCAGTGGGCAGGGGTCCTGCCAGGGCATCTGCTGGTGAGCTGGCGGAGCTTCGAGGGCCAACAGATCTCAGGCTCTGTGGCAGGCAGCCGCCCCAGGCAGGGGCCAGGTAAAAAGCTGACCCCTAGTCCAGACGCCTTTTCCCCTGTCCTATCCCTCCCTCAGAGGCACAGCGTGGGCAGCAGGAGCGGAAGTGTGTCATTCGGTGAAAAGGGTTGATGGCGCCAGTCCCTGGGACAGCGTGACTGCTTTCGGACGTGTGGCTCCAACCCAGAAACCACAGCAGAAACGGTCCCCACCTGACACTAAGCTGAGGGGTGGCCGTTGGGGGACCGAAGGGGAAACATTGGTGAGACCTGCTCAGGTCCAGCCAGAACGTTCTGCCGCGAACGACCCAGGATGGGGAGGCCGTGCGAGCTGCGATCCGGCTTGACTGGTCACCTTATTGCGCAGGACGCCCTTGTCCCGGCCCGCAGGAATCCCGGATCCCTGACCGGGATGCTCCACCTCGTAGCACAGGTAGGTCCTGGGGGGCCAGTTGTCGTTTTGGAAGTTGTCGGTGAAAGTGTCCTCATCCAGCAGCTGCCTGTGGACAAAAGTGTGGGGGAGGGGCTGAAGATGTGGCCTCCCCCTGGAGTATGGAGAGTCCTCTTGCTGAGGGATGTTTGGCACAGAAGAGAGATTTTACATTAAAATGAAGACACTCGGGGGTGGGTGCGTGGCTCATTGGGTTAAGCCTCTGCCTTCAGCCCAAGTCATGATCCCAAAGTCATGGAATCAAGCCCCACATCGGGCTCTCTGCTCAGCGGGGAGCCTGCTTCTCCGTCTCTCTCTGCCTGCCTCTCTGCCCACTTGTGATCTCTCTGTCAAATAAATAAATAAAATTTAAAAAAGAAAAACAGTGAAGATACTCAATGTCTAAACATCTCAACTCTTTCTCATGGGCTCCTTGCTGTTTGCTGGTATCCCTCGCCCTTTCCCCCTGCACCCCACATTCTGGCCAGACCCACAGAGGACAGGTTTCCACTGGCTTTGCTGGATCCACCCAGCCTCCCTCTGGGACCCCTTCTGGGAGCTCCCGGGGGGGCCTGCCCGCTACTCTGTCAGGGGACCCACTGGAGTCGCCCAGGGCGCTCAGACCCTCTGCTGGGTCCTCTCCCTCTGCCCATGGTAGGCTCTCATCCCATCTCCTGGCCTCGCCATCCATCCTCGTCCCCGAGGAGCTACTCCGCTGCGTGGAGGGACATCCCGGGGCTTTCCCCTTTGGTTCAAGGTTGGCCCACTCCGCAGTGCGCACCGGGCCCACACACACCCGTGCAGGACCACTGCCAAAAAGAGGACCCAGGAGCCTCAACTTCTTAAATAGTAGTGGGATTTTCCCTAAGGATGAAAATACCAAAGCCCTTTGCAGGCCCGAAATCTTAAAGCTGAAAGGGACCTCCTGGCCCTCTGCTCAGAGGGATCCCCCGGCAGGAAGCATAGACTCCCAAGGGCACTGGAGGAAGCCAAGGATGGGGACCTTCAGGGACGATTCCCCAGGAGCCCGGGCGAGGCCGGTTGGACAAGCAGACTGGGCATCGGTGGACAGGGCTCGGTGGGCCCGGGAAGGGCCAGCAGGAACAGGCAAAGAAGAGCAGGGAGCCCCAGGGGTACAGGAGGAGACCTCAAGGGAGTGCATGTCCCCATCCGGGACAACCTTGGGCAGCCCTGAGGAGGGGCTCAGGAACAGAGGGGATGCAGGGGGCTGGGGTTACCTGTCCAAGACCTCTGAGCCGGCATCCATGTCTCGGTCCCTTCACCACCTCTGACTCTGTGTCTGCGGCTTCTCTGCCTCGACACGCCTATGCCGTGCTCTCGGGGTGCTAGTCAAGGACCCAGGCACCTTATAAGCCATCAGAGCTCCTGGAATCGGCTGAGCTGGCATGACTGGGACACACCCCGTCCTAGACGCGGGCTACTCATGCCGCCCTCATGGGTGTTGAAATAGGAGGCACTTCTCTGCCAGCGGTCAATCCCTAAGTCCTCAGGGTCAAGTTAGGTTTTGGTTTCTCTGCTCTGACAAAGGCCCTGCCTGGAAGCCTCGAGGAGTGACCGAGCGCAGATGGGGTCCAGGGAGAGTCTGGTCTCTCTGGGTAGCAGGGCCCAGCAAGGGAGGAGGTGAGAGGACAGGTGTCCGGGACTGGAGGAAGGTCCTGTCCCAGGACACAGTGCCCCGGAGGGAAGGCTCCCGGGGAGCCCCACCCGGGGTCCCCCTCAGCAGCCAGCAGGAGCAGGGCCTGGCCCAGCCTCCCCGGGACCAGCTGGGGGAGACCCCTGCACGCACTTGCACACAACAGGGGTGGGGGAGGACGGGAGCTTCTAGTCTGAGAGCCTCAGCAGAGCCTTCACCCCTGCACCTGCCAAGGAAGGATGACAAACCCTGACTGAGCTGTCCTCAGGAGCCCAGCACCCAGTGGAGGATGGCAAACTGGCCGTGGGGCATTTGTACCCCGTTACCTGCAGGGGAAAGAGAGGCTCCCAGAGGGAATGGGACGTGGCCAGGTCTGCACGGGTGTGGAAGGATGCAGGGATGATGTGGGGATACAGGCCTCCCGTGGGGCGGTTCTCTTGTTCTGGTGTTCCCCTCAGGACCACGAGGAATGAGGGGGAATTTGCATTCCCGCCCTGAGCAGGTCCCGGAGTCCACTCTGGCCGTTCGTCCCCTTGCTCTGCCCCTCTGTCCCACTGACTCCCCCATTCTGGCTTCCCTTAGAACCCGCAGTCCTGGCCCAGGGCCGCCCCTCCCTGGGGGATATGTCTGTCCTGGGGTTACCTGGGACAAGTGGGGTCTGAGTCACAGCCTGGCTGCCTGCACCGAGAGTCCCCGGGCTCGTCACCCTCCCAGGCTGTCTAATCTCATCCTGACACTGGGAACCTCAACACCGTGTCCCCTCCTTCTCGGGCGGGCATCCCTGGTCCCGGAGAGATGGGAGGCTGCCCTCCCCGTACCTGCACTGAGGTTCCTCCCCAGTCCTCCATCCTCTAGATCCGGTTCCCTCTAGCGCTGATACCATGCCCTGGGGCCCAGAAGGTCTCGGGCACTCTTGCCCAGTACTCATACTTCCAGGTCCTAGCCTCTGCACACAGCAGACACACACACCCAGCCGTCTCCAGCCCTCCTGACCTGGAGCCCTCATCCCCACCTGGACTGGGGCTGCAGAGGCCAGACGTGGGCCCCTGAGGATTTCCCGAGCCAGTCCCCAGCTCTCGCCTTCCGTGGTGGGGTGGATGGGGGATGCGGCCCTGAGGAGACCAAGCTCTCCTCCAGGACCCCCTGAAGTCTCTCCAGCTCCTCACCCTGCTGGGGTGATCTCTGCTGGTTCTCGCACACCCTATGTTTCCTTGGAGGGACCCCTGTGCACTAAGGCCCATGCTGGGGGCAGACGGTGTCTCTAGGAGTGCAGGGTCCTGCTGCACAACCCCTGGCCCTTGGTGGCCCTCGGAGGGCAGGGCCTCCCCCCCCATCTGCCCCTGCCTTCCCAGGGGGCACCAGTGAGCAGCTAGAGCGCCCGTGTCTCTCTGGGCTGAGCCTGCATCGCTGGCTCTCCTGACCAAAGGTGCCCCTTCAACCGTGCTGTCACGTTTGCTGGGGAGATCAATGGGGGCCCCGTGGCAGGGAGGGCACTTTGCTCCTGCCTCCCCGGGGGCAGACTCCCTACCAGTCTCGCTCCCCTGCCAACAGCTCTGAGGCCTCCAGTTCTGGAAAGTCCTCTGGCACCCCGTCCTTCCCGGATCCCCTGACCGGGATCCCAGCTTGTCCTGAGCCCCCACCCCGCATTGGGTGCTGCCCGCTGCCATCTGGTTGCCTGCCCAGAGGCAGACAAGACCGGCCCCACGCGTCTCCATGTCCGGAAGTCGCCTTTGCAGTAAGCGACCAGGACACGGGCAGAGAGAGGATCTGTGTCCTGGGAATGCCAGAGGGACGTCGTGGGGAACAAGGTTTTGTTCTTCTCCCGAAGCTTCTGTCTTGAGTCACCTGTCTGAGTCTGGGCGATGAGGGCCAGGAGCTAGAGGGGACACTGCGTGGGCGTGGGTGGACCTCCCCTCTCGGTTCTCATGCCCCTGGTCCTTCTGGAAGGACCCCCTTCCCGGCATCCTCCCACCACCTCCCTAACCCCCCAGAGCTGGACTCCCCGGAGCAGCAGGGGCCCAGGGACTAGTGGGCTCCCGGGCCCGAGCTCCCCGAGGCCAGGGGAGACCATGCTTTGGTAAAGGCCACAGTGGAGCCTGGTGGTGAACTCTGGGTCCAGGAGTCGCGCTCGACACCCCGGACGTGGCCATGACCTAAAAACACGCAGGTGGCTTTCCTCGGTCCCCGAGGCCAGAAGCAAGAGCAGGGTAATCGTGTCCTCCGCGGGAATGACCGCCCCCTCCCCCAAGTGTGCCTCTGGACCACTGAGTGAACCTGTGAAACGATCCCTACAGGAGTCCTGCTGAAATTCTCCCTCAAAGCACACCAGGGTCCCAGAAGGGAAGGGAGGACCTGGGTCCCTTGTGAGAGCAGATGTGTGCCCACCCCCAAGCCCCAGGCAGGGGCAGGCCATGCCAGGACTTCTCCTGTTCCCGTCAGGAAAACTGAGAACAGGGTGGTCTGCCCCGGGGGAGCTGAGACTGGGATCCCAGACACAGACTGAAGCCAGAGGGCCCCAGGGAGGGTGCACGCACCCCTGCTCAGCCTGAGTCTCTCTGGGACTTGGGGCATGGAAGGTCCCATTCGTGTCTGGGCCCCAGGCCAGGCTGCTCTGGCTGAGGTCCCAGCCCTGTCCCCTCGTGGATGGCCCCCAAACGCTATAGCCAGGGGCGAGGACAGACTGCCCATGCCCTGCCCAGGACGGAGTAGCATTCCCGGGCTGTGTCAGGTCCTCTTTCCAGCACCTCTGGGTCGTCCCTGGCTCATGGGCAAAGTTCTGGGACTGGGGTCTGGGGATGACAGGGTCCTGGGGCGACAGGGCCCTGGGGCGACAGGGCCCTGGGGTAGGGGACAGGTCTTCCTGGAACCTACCCTCTGAAGACACTGGCTGTGGGGACCCTTCCTCCTGTGGAGACTCTGTCCTCTACTTCGATTGCCCGCTCTGCCCTGAGTGACTCATTGTGGATTTTTTGGTGATTTGCTTCTAGTGACAGAAATAAGGATGGTGTCAGAGCCCAGAAAACAAAAACAAAAGAGTGATTTCATGATGAGTTTCTTCCAACAACTACCCCTTGGGAAGTGTTGACATCCTCTGCTTTCCCGCCTTGGTGAGAGTGATTTGGGTGTGTCTCGGAACCCAGAGGAAGTTCCCTTTTTTTTTTTTTTTAAACATTTTATTTATTTATTTGAGAGAGAGAGAGAGACAGTGAGAGAGAGCATGAGCGAGGAGAAGGTCAGAGGGAGAAGCAGACTCCCCGTGGAGCTGGGAGCCCGATGCGGAACTTGATCCTGGGACTCCAGGATCATGACCTGAGCTGAAGGCAGTTGCCTAACCAACTGAGCCACCCAGGCGCCCCAGAAGTTCCCTTTTTTTAAGTCACTCTGTGTGTGTGTGTGTGTGTGTGTGTGTGTGTGTGTGTGTGTGTGTTTATCTGTGATTTAGGGCAGCTGCCCAGGCACAGCTGTGTGCCAGGTCCCACATGTGTTTGTATATGAGATGCCTGAGTTCCCAGGACAGCCTGGTGGAACCAGGAGCTCAAATCCAGCATAAGCCTGTGGTCTCAGATCCAGGAAGCAGTGCCACTGGCCCTGGGGACAGACCCAGCAATTAAGCAACATCCTTGACCCCTCTGTGACTCCTGCACTAGGTCTGTCTCAGTTCTGAGCACCTGCTCTGGGACGGAGCTCTGAGCTCTCCTTCTTGGTGGTTCTGTCACTTGGTGGCTGCTCCTTTCCCCCTGGCCCCTCTCTGGGCACGGCCCTGGACACCTCATCCTTTCCCCTGCTCCTTCCCCAGGAACTGGCTCCATCCTGAATCTCAGGGTGAGCGCTATGCTGAGGCCACAGCTCACCCTGCCCCCCCCCCGCCGTGTATACCCGAAGGGGCTGCTCGAGTATGAGCTGGAGTGGGTAGAGGAAGGAGGGATGTGGGTGAATTGAATGAGTTATTAAACAAGGATAACCCCTCCATTTTTTTTTAATAACATCATCATTTGTTGAGGAATAATGATCTCAGACATAGTCTAAAGCACTTGACATTTGCTTTGTCATTTAACTGCCACAGCCATCCTCATGGTCCTTCACTGACAATGTCCCTGTGTTTCCGGGGAGAAGCCCGAAGCCCCTGAGCATGGAGAAGTTAGCACTCAGTGTGAAGTCCAGGCTCTTCCAACTGTCAAACATCCCTACAGAGACCCCACAGAGGAGCTGCTCAGATCCTGGGGCTGCAGGAGGGGCACCTGAGGGACCACAGGAGGGAGAGTCCACCCAGGAGACTGGAGGGGGGTGTGGGGAACTGGGCTGCAGGTGAGGAGCATCAGCAAAGACGTGAGCAGCGTGGCCAGCGCCAGAGAGGAGGGTGTGGAGAGAGAGGAGGGTAAGGGGCTTGCGTGGGGGACACCCCAAAGAAGGGGCCAGTAAGCAGGAGGGCTCAGAAAGGGGAAGGACAAACAGGGTCTCCAAATGGAACACCATTAGGAACCATAAACGAGGGGGTCTCTCTTGGACCACATTCACATTCGGGAACCACAGTTTCCAGGCAGACGCCAGGGTGTTGGGCTGGCCCTGCCCTCTCTGGCCCTGGGATGAGACACGGTGCCTGGAGGTGCGCAACC